TTCTGCCACTCTCGTGATTGCTGGGTTCGGCCTCCGGGGGTCTTGTGTCGGTTGTTGTGTCGCCGGCTTCCTCTTCGGGTTTTTCGGAGTTCAGTGCGTGGCATCTCTCCAAGCCCTCGCTCGATGTGTTCACAAATACCTCATGTCTTGGCTGGGGCTTTGTGACCAGTGCTCACCAGGCCGGCCAGGGGCACTGGACTCGGTCCTTCCATCTGAATCACAGCACTGTGTGGGAGTTCGTTGCGGTTTGGCTGTCGCTTCTACAAAGGGTCCGTGTTGCTCGGGGTTCACTGATCAGGCTCCATTCGGACTGTACTCCGGTGATTCATTGCCTGAACAGCAGGGGTATTCTTTTGTTCTTTGCTCTTTGGGGCTGGTCGTTTTGAGTGACTCGCCTGCTGGATTCTCGGGGTTTGGCTCTCTGTATTGTTCATGTCTGGAGGGTGTCTAACGTCTTGGCAGACGACCTGTCTCTGTTCATTCCCCCATCCACGGAATGAATGGTCGCCGCCGATTCCTTCAGTTGGCTCTGCTAGACGTGTGGACTCCCAAATGTGGACCACTTCGCGTTGGCATGGTCCCAGCGTCTTCCTGTGTATGTGGCACCCTTCCCCGATTGTGAAGCCATCATGGTGGACACTTTTCAGCAGGACAGGTCGAGGTGGGGTTACCTGTATCTCTTCCCCACGGAGTCCAGCTGTTGTTTCAGGTCCTAGTTCAGTTGGAGAATTACCATGGAAGAGAAGTCTTTTTGGCCCCTTCGTGGCCAGCCCAGCCTTGGTTTCAGGCGCTGCTTGTTCAGTGTCTGAACCCAAGGTGTTTTCCGTGGCTCCGCCTCTTTCAGCAGAACGGGCAGGTCTGGTACGTGGGTGGTACGTCTACTCCTCTGCTCTTCACGTCTGGTCATTTTGATGCAGGTGTATCACCAATTTTATGGTGATCAGTTGGCTTCGTTGATGGTGTTCCACCTTCTAATTTCATCTTGGCAACAGTATGAAGTTTCTTTTCGGTATGGCGTTCTTTTCGCCATTTTCTCTCCTTTCATAGGTTGTTGTGCATTTCGGATTGGGTTGTTTTGTCCTTTCTTTCTTGGCCTTTTCGGAACCATCTTTTAATGACTAATACTGTCTCCTTGCATCGTGCGGTGCTAGCGGAGCCGCTTCAGCTTGCGTTTGGGGTAGATTTTACTTGTGCTCTATTCTGCAAGTTTTCTCATGCTTTGTTTCACCTCCAACCTGCTCGTGTGCCGCCTGAGCTATCCTGGTCCTAGGACCGGGTGCTCTCTTTTTTTCTCTCTTTATGGTGGCTCATTTGATTCAGTTTTTTTTCTAAGGCTCTTTTTTTTTTTTTTCCTGTTGGCATTGGCCTCTGGGGGTCGGGTTGGGGAGCTTCATGCTCTCCTCCGGCGCAGGGGTTTCTGCTCTTTCGGTCCTGGTGGTAGGTTTGTTCGGTTGCAGCTATCTCTTCCTTTTCTGGGAAAGAACGAGCCAGCCGCTTTCCAGAGGGGCCTTTGGGTCATTGATGCTTGGTTAGTCAGGCCGGGGGTGCATCATGTGGTGTGTCCGGGTGCTGCTCTTCGCTGTTACCTGTGTGCTACGGCCTCTGTGGCCGGAAATATGCTTTGGGTTGACCCGGGCTCCCTAATTCCCTGTTCCAGGGCTCGGGTCTCCCAGGTCGTCTGCAGGGTTATTTGGTCCAGCCAGTCTGTGGTCTATCCTCGTGCCCATGACGTTTGTAAGTTTGCTGCTTTAGCGGCCGTTTTTGGTAACATGTCTTGGGCTGACATTCAAGCACGAGAGTTTTGGAGGTCGAACAGGATCCTGGTCGCCTGTTACATGGTCAATATTTCTGGCCCTAGTCGAGCGTGTGTGTGTCTTTAGGTCGCAGGCTGCAGCCAGTTGCTCCTCAATTCAAAGTCGAGACAAGTAGCGGTTGTCTCCAGGGTAAGTATCTCTTGTTCCTTTTTTTTTAGTTAGGTAGCTCTGGGGAACTGTAAGGGCTCCCCACAGAAAACCAGTGTTGAATGTAATGCAACGGCATTTTCTGGGTAAGCCCCAGAAGCTCCCTGGCACCCTCTTTCCCTCTGGTCTGCAGTTTTCATGTTGTTTTTGAAGCTCAGCTTCAGAAATGAATGGTGGAGCAGCCGGTACAGAGGGTCCAGGGACCCCCTTTCCCTCTGGTGGGGGGGCTGTGCAGATGAGCGGCACAACAATGGGGTGTGATGTTTGCTTGTTTAAAAATTTGGGGAGTTCTGTTTCTGTGTTCGGTTTTGGTAGCAATTAATTTTTTGTTTACCATACCTTGAGGGTTACCTTGAGGTGCTTCCAGGGCTTAGTGTTCCGGCGGCCAGGTCATCGACCAGGCCTCCTACCACGCCCATGTGGGTAGGCGTTTTGTAATGCCTACCTTTCTGGGTGCCAAACCTCGGTTGATGGCAGACATGGAATGCTTCCAAATACACGAGCGTTTCCATAGGCCATTGCTCCTTGTACCTCTCTGAGGGGACCAGATTCTAGCTTATGGTCCCCGGTAGGTAAGAACTCCAATCAACTGATGCCACAGTAATACATACATATCGGGCCAGTAAGCTCTGGGAAGCCTCCGGGGCTCACCCAGAAAATGGTGTTTCATTACATTCAACGCTGTTTTTTTAGCTGTATTGTTTGTGAGGGCTGAAGTTCAGTCTCTTGTCTATGTACAGGTCAAGTAACTTTCCTTCATATATACTGTATTGCTAATGTTAACATTGTCTATCTGAAGTTGAATTTGATTTGATGATTTACTACCAAATAAAATGTAGTAGGTCTTTTCTATGTTTGGTGTGAGTTTGTTGGTTGACATCCATGAGTGAACTTTTTTTAATTCATTATTGACAATCATATTTAGTGTGTGTGGGGGGGGGGGTCAGAATGGATGAAAGTAGTATCTTCAGCAAACAGTTAAGGTATAAGAAAGTTAAACAATTGTCAAATCATTGATGTATATGAGAAATAGAAGAGGTCCTAAGATTCTGCCTTGTGGTACTCCTACTGTTACTGGTAGAATGGGGAAGTTAATGTTATTGATGGCTACATATTGGTGTCTGTCACTGAGATAGGAACGAATATAGTTCAGAGCAAAGCTTCGGATACCATAGTGATGATGTTTAAATAAGAGGTAGTTACGGTTTACAGTATCAAAGGCCTTTCTCAGGTCAGAGGCCTAGTTTAAATCTTTGACCTCTTGTTCTTGATGTTCCAGGTTTCAGGATTTCCTCCCTATCAATTTTATTGATACCCATTACTATTTTGTACTTAGTGATCATATCGCCTCTTTTTTTTTCTTCTATCTTCTAATTTAGGCTTCTTTTAGCTTCTTCTAACTTCTCCTAGTAACTCCATGCAGTAAATGGAGGTTATTAAGATAGGATTGTAGCATGTAAGTTTATAAATTAATCCTAATCATCACAATTTAATCAACTCACTTCACGGCATACTATCTGAAATACAGTAATACAAAGCAAATATTGTAACCATCTCAAAACGGACTTACAATTAAAATAATAATGAGTCTTATAAAGAACATAATATTATTGTGAGATACTATATAAAATTGTGATATTTCTAGATATTACAATGGCATAACCAATTAAAGTATTACAAAGCATTATAAACAGTACTTTGAGAACTAAACCACACACCAGAAGATGAGAAAACGACGGTGTTTTGGTCCATCCTGGATCATTATTAAGTCAATTGTGATGATGGTCCAGGACGGACCGAAAAGTCGTCGTCTCATCTCCTGATGTGGGGTTTAGTTCTCATATCTTCAAGCCATGTTATTGTGAATCATAGTCTGCAGTACTAACTTTGGAGGTAAAGATCTATATATTGGTGACACTTATTATTCACGTTGATTGCCAGCCTGCTTCCTTCCCAGCCTGATTCTTTCCAGAGGCCTGCCAGCCAGCCTTTGCAGTTATGACGGCATTGCCAGCCTGCCTCCTTCCCAGCCTGCCAGCCTGCCTCCTTAAGCTGTCAGATACACAGCCTGCCTCCCCCCCTGATGCATTTTTATTGCAAATAGTACCTGCTAGCCTTGTGTTAATTGGATTATGTTGTAGATAATTCCTGTTTGTTTTGCAGTACAGTATAGTAATTGGACTATTTGTGAAGAATGCCCGACTTGACTCTTATCTAATTGTGCTTTTAACACGACTTGATAGTGGTCCAGGACAGACCAAAATATCAACACTTCTCAAACTTCTGAGTTGTGGTTTGGTCATCATTGTGTTTTTAACAATCTGCTATTGCTATGTTGTATGGAATGCTGTATATGTCCAAGTAAAAGAAATTTGTAATTGTTAATTATGGTTTATAAATCAGCATATGAAAGAACGTCATATGTTTGTATTGTGCAATAAAGTATTATATGTCATCATCAAACTCCAGAAGATTAGTTATCAACCCCAACCTTATGGTGTAATTTAGAATTCAGTACAGTAATTACTTACCACTTATAGTAGCTAGTTTTTCCAAAGTTTTTCTTTACACAGTTTACTTTTCAATTTATATTCCATAAAAATCCAACTATGTACAGTATGGAAAGTGCACAATTAATGCATCTAGTGGCCACATCATATGACTACTTGCAAATAGCAGGAATTTTAAGTTTGGCAGAGTAAATAGGCCTGATATTTGAGTGTTCTCATTTTGAGGGGCCCAAATGCAGAGATGTTTGCAATATTTGTTTGTGTTATTGCTTTTACCGAGGCTTTTGAAATGGTCTTGCCTATAGGCAAGTGGGTTGAAAATATATAAGCTCGAGAATGCTTCCATAACTAACCAAAATCATGTATCTAATTACAATAACTAAAGCACTGTACATTTGCAATAACTGACTTGTTTAAGCAAAACAACACAAAAAATATAACTTTGATTTTTAGACTTCAAGAGGAAGATTAATCAAATTAAGTACAGTAGTTCACTTTAAAAGAATAAACAAAATAAAAGAGTGTTTACATTAGGTTCAGAAGAGAAGTGGACCTTTCTCAGGGGTGAGTCGGAATGTCGTTGCCTCAGTGCAGACTTCTTTGCTGACTACCACCACAGGTGAGGAAGAATGAAAGATAACTAATACTCATTGCTACTATAACATACAAGTACTTGACAGTCTAAAACCTGCTTGAAATTTACTGAAGATCAAATGGACAACAAATAGCTTTCACTCGACAGTGACAGAACAACATTAAGTTGTATAAAACAAATTGTAGTTTATCACATGCACTGTGTAAACCATTTAGATTCCATGCTCAAGAAAATTTAGTTCTTTCATTCTAGACAATTTTGCAAGATCAATCTTAGGTTATTCAAAGTAGGCTAGAATGAATTTTTGTGTTAAATTCAGTATTGCAACAATTACCATGTATAGAAACTGCATCTTCTCTGGTTGAACAAAATTAATAGAATAAAACTAAAGCACTCTACTTCCTAATAGACTATAAACTTTTTAGTTTCTTCTGCTCTGGTGTATCACATTCTCTACCTTGGAAAGTGGCAAGTGAAAGTCTACACAAGTGGCAAAACACAAGAGATATGATACAGTGTGGACTACCCTCAAACCATGGTTGCTTTCCTCCTTGTTGGAAAAGATTGTCAATCAATAGCACTAAGGTCTTGAATGTTATGCAACTACAAGGTCAAGTGTTATGAAAATGTCATATACATGAAAACTTATATTATAATAATGGAATTATTGCTTGTATATAGTATAGTGTTAAAGTGCCAGTGTTGGCATCAGTACTGTGTTTTCCACTTTCATGATGTATGCGTGGGTACATAAGAGCTTTAGTGGAAAGAATTAAAAGAAAAAGCCAGGTTTCCTCTTGTGTTTCCTCCTACACCCCCATTTATTGCAAGGAATGCATGACTTTCTTCACCAGATAAAGATGAGTAGAATGAATAGCATATTTGACTGGAAACAAAGGTGACAATTAAGTTCAAATTCTTTAGTTTAGTCTCATATTTTTTAGTTAAGTCTCAAATTAAAAAATTTAGTTTAAACTATTTGGAGTTTTTTTCTATGTGGGGGGGGGGGCAAATTGTCACTGAGAGATGGTCAGTTTCTGGCTCTGGTGTTCAGTATTTTTTTTTTCTGTTTTGTGTATTCATATAGAGGAAGGTACAATGGGTTGTGAAAGAAGTAGTAGTACATACATTGGTGATTAAGTGGTACATTCTTGCAAAGCCACTAACACGCATAGCATTTCAGGCAGGTTCTTAAGGTAGCCATTGTAACAGAATTTGAATTGACATAACTACCTCAGCATAAATTGATGAAATGAATTATAATGATCACGTTGCAATTCTGAATTCTATTATATAGTATTGGGTGTGTGGGGCAGCACAAGTCACAGTGCGAGTTAGGAGCACAAAGTGGGATTCTATGAAGATGAAATTAGGTACTTCAAAGTTCTACTTTTGAATAAAGCATAGGTTGAAATTTTTATTTCATTAGGGAGTGAGTTCCATGTATTGGGTCTTTCAATGGAAAGCCCCATCAGCTCCCTGAAGCTATCACAATGATTAAGTGCCCTACCACTAGATGTTATCAGTCATGGAGTTCTATTGTCATGGGTTCGTATCCTGGCCGGGGGAGGATTTACTGGGCGCAAATCCTTAACTGTAGCCTCTGTTTAACTCAACAGTAAAATGAGTACTTGGTTGTAAAAACGATTCTTCGCGGCGGGGGTCGCATTCCAGGGACCTGCCCGAAACGCTACGCGTACTATAGTGGCTGTACAAGAATGTAACGACTCTTGTATATATCTCAAAAAACAACAACAATAATAATAACAACAACAAAAATTGATCTACTTGGGACCATGAGTCAGAACCTAGCCCCATTCAGAGAGGCACAGGGAGCAATGGCCTATGAACACTTTACACTTGAAGTTTATCAACTTTGCCACTGGCCAAGGAAAGGCATGTAGAAAAATAGGCAAATCAAAATGGACCACTGCACTGTTTAATTGAAACCACACCCTCAAAATTGCCAAAGGAACTCTCCCACAAAGGAAACAAACCACAAAAATTTTGTGAGGGTCAGGTCCCCCCCCCCCCCCAATAGTTTGCCCCCACCTTCCCCATTGCCTGGGGAGGAAGGAGCTGGCCTTGGTCAGCCAGGCAGCACTCAGTTCAGTGCTGTACTGGTGTCTGTGCCTGGTGGCCATGTCTCTCTGGCTCCTGTTTTCCATTTTCTTTGGTATGTTCACCTTTGAGGCTGTGTTCTTACATGGAGGTGTGCTTCAGCCAGGAGTCTTGTGTACTGGGACAGCATGGGCTAAGGTTTTTTCCTGTGTGCTCTGTAAGAATCCTGACTGTGCAAAGGTAATAATCTTTCCTGGGGCGTTCAGGCAACACTCCCTTAAATATTGCATTGCATTAAAATATGATGCCCCCGTGATGCGCAGAAAATAAATTATTTCCCAAAATTTATTTTCTCTTATATTGTTAAAATGCAATCTCTGATCACTGGAAACTATAAAATAAATTATTTTATGTGACACATTTCAGCAGTGATGGAGTTGAGAAGTTGAGCAATTTATGGGCACTGAGTGAGTAGGCGCTCAGGAATGCTTGACCCCGTGGCAGTATTATTATTCAATAGTGTGTAATTTGTGGGATCTATATACAGATTACCACTTGCATTGTGAACTCCTCAAGAATAAGACCCATCGGTTATCGTGTAAGTTCATAAACAAGAAATTTAGTAAAAAATTAAACGAGAAATGTCGGAAAAATATCTAGGGAAAAAAAATTGACAGGTTCATAGCATAAATGCAACAGGATCTTGTTTGTTCTCACCAGTAAGGTGAGTTCTGATCCACTTGTTATGTTGATGATTAATGTTAATGAAGCATAATTATTTACATGGAAGAGGTGATGGTGGATGTTGATGGTGTTGGGTTGACTGAAGCTAGAGAATAATGGTGATGAGGTAACCTCAGATGTTGATGCATTTGGGTCAACATGTGATGAGTCAGGTGTAGGTGAGACAATGCCAGCTTTCTTGGAAGCCTTTGCAAAAGACTCTTTAATGGACATTTGATTTATTCCCTTTGATCTTGTTTTCAAAAACTTCATATACAAATTGTACAGGCTCATCGTGTCCTTAGTTTCAAACTCACTGTTACTCGTGTCCATAAATGCCAGAATGCCTTCAAAATGCTGCTGAACTTTTTCCATGTTACCTTTTTCCTTCAACGTTCTTCATCCTCTTCCCTTCCTCGCCATCGTCTTCATTGCACTCTTCTGACTGTTTTGCTGTACATACTAATTTTATAATTTCATCATCATTCATGTTTTGATTGGGGCTTCTTCGTCAAAATCTATCCACCTATCTGTCATCTTCTATTGTTTTAGTCCTCTTAAGTTTTCCCTCTCACTAACTTCGCCGCAAATCTTTCAACATCTGCCTCATCATCTTCCTCGAAAAACAGACTTGATGTGGGCCAAAGTTTTTCCAACCATTTCTTAGTGTTGTTTGCTCTACCTCGTCCCATGCACTAGCAATAGTCCAGATAGCTGACTTTATTGTGAAGACTTTATAAAAGTCCTTAATTATTCCTAGCTTATTATTAAGATGTCTGGCAAACATCCTCTTGTAGTGGTGTTTAAGGTTCTTAATTATCCTTTGATCCATGGGTTGGATCAGTAAAGTTGTATTGGGTGGTAAGAATGTTCCAATGATATTGTCATTTATTAGTTCATCACCTCATGGATGCATTGAACTGTTATCTAGCAGCAGCACAATTTTACTGTTTTGCGGGAGGCCAACAATTTTCAGGTGCTCCTTCACCTCGGGTACAAAGTTCTTATTAAACCACTTGGCAAAAATTACTCGAGACATCCACACACTTGACTGGTTCTTATAAATCCCAGGGAGGCCCCTAGTTGACTTTAAAGCCCTGGGGTTTTTGCTAATTCCAATCACAAGTAATTTCAATTGTGCATGCCAATGGCATTTGCACAGCACAACTTTCTCTGTTTGTTTTGCTTATAACCACCTGAAGGATCATCCTCACCACTATGAACTATCATGTCTGTGGGTAACATACGCCAGCACAAACCTGTCTCGTCAGCATTATAAATTTGCTCTAGAGATAAATTTTGTTCCTGCACCATCTTCGCAAATTTATTTGAATACTCATCATGTTTGTAGCTCTGCATCTATGTATGTACGTTTCCTAAATAAAATGTTATTTATTTATTTATTATTTATTTATTTATTTATCAGCACCAATAGTGTCAGCAAACTGTGTTTCACCATGTACCCTAATGAACCTAATGCCATGATGGGTTTTAAAGCTTCTGAGCCATCTATCGCTGTATACTCACTTCTGAATAATTTTCATTGCTTGGTGAAATTCATGTGCCTTTTCTCACAAGCAGCAAGCCTGCCACTGGCAACTTCGTCACTTCATGCTATCAACACTCCACTTTTGCTTTACTTACAACCTTTCTATTTCGTATTGCCTTATCACTTTCACTTCTAGAGAAATAGTAAAAAATTATAGGTTTACCCTTAAGAAGATAAAAAATAGTACTTTTGCTGATGCCATATTCAGTGCACACAACATTTCTCGGGACACTGCTCTCCACTTTCTTAATTATTTCAACTTCTCAAATGTCATCACTAACCTCCTTCTTTTACGTTTCCCACCTGTTGATGCTTTCACTCACACAATGCATGCATTTGGAGCTACAATGTATGCATTTGGTGCATGGATGTTCCTTGATTGTTCAGATATGTCCAAAAAAGTCATGGAGTGAACACTCCAGCCTCATGACAAATCAAAACAATGGTAACAATGCAACCCGTTCTCGCAAATTTAATAAGTCAATATTGACTTATTAAATATGTGCATAGGTGACATACTTAACATAATAGATACCCTTAAAAAGATTCATAGAAAACACCAACCTTACCTAACCTACTTAGTATGTTAAGATAAGCATCTTATTGCTTCGTAATTACAATTATTACCTAACCTATAATAGGTATAGGTTAAGTAATAATTGTAATTACGAAGCAATAA